CCTTAACAATACTCATTCTCTTGAGCGGTTTCATTTCGGATGTATATACTCAATTTTTTTTTCCTATTTTTTAAAAGAAATAGTATAGCCAAACGGCTATACTCTGTTTTTAAATTTTTTTAAAAAGAAATAGTATAGTCGCGCGGCTATACTCGGTTTTTTTATTTATTTAAAGAAATAGTATTGCCGCACGGCTATACTCAGTTTTTTTAAAAGAAATATTATAGCCGCGCGGCTCTACTCGGTTTTTTTTCCTAATTTTTTAAAAAGAAATAGTGTCGTACGCGGGTTTTTTATTTTTTTTATATAAAAGAAATCGTATGCCGTGCGGATATACTAGGTTTGTTAATTTTTTTTTAAAGAAATCGTATAGCCGATCGGCTGTACTCTGTTGTTCTAATTTTTAAAAAGAAATAGTATAGCCGGGCGGCTATACGCTTAATATATATGTATATCTATATATACTCGGATCATTTTTTTCTTTAAAATTTTTTTCCCCCGATTTTTGTTTATCGATAATAGTAATCTCTATTTTCTCCTTTCGATTTTTTTACTTTTCCAAAGTTATTACTCGTATAAAGAATTTAGCACTTTCCGTTTAATATTGTATTATGCATGTACGTACGTATTTTTCAATAATACATTCGTGTTCTGTACATGGCTTAAAGACTCGGTAAAATTTCACGTTTTTTACAAAGAAAATGTACAATACTCATATTGTACATGCACATATGTATTTTTCAAGTTTAATACACATGTTTTTGTACAAAATTTTCAATAATACACAAAAAATTCACGCAGTTATACACATAATTCTCACATATTATTGAATAGAAATAATATATCTCAGATCTGGAGCTTTTGTCTATTTTTTCTCTTTACCCTCACCATAAATTTCCTTAAACTAGGACTGGGCATCTGGACCGACAAACTGGCCAAACCAGCCAAACCAAAACAATTGGTCTGGTTCGTCCAATTTTTCTTTTATTTTTCTGTCTTTCGGTGTTGAATTGGATCGAATCAACTATTTCGGTCTAGTCCACGATGTGGAGAAATGCAAACCACTGATTCATCTAAACCAAACTAGTTTGCATAAATGTTAATTATATTTATAAAGTTGGAGTTAGGGGGACTCAAACTCTTGAGCTCCAAGGTATACTCTCATTTCCAACCCACCAAGGTAACAAGTTATCTTGTGTTAAATATTTATAACTAATATATTTAAATGATATCAATTCCAACAAAACTTTTAAGAAATATAAAGAGTTAAAACCCTAACAATACCCATTCTCTTGCGCCGTTTCATTTCAGATGTCTATACTCGATTTTTTTCCTAATTTTTAAAAAAGAAATCGTATAGCCGAGCGGTGATACTCGGTTTTTCTAATATTTAAAATGAAATAGTGTAGCCGCCCGGCTATACTCTGTTTTCCCCTAATTTTTTTAAAAAGAAATAGTATCGCCGAGCGGCTATACTCTGTTTTTAAATTTTTTAAAAAGAAATAGTGTAGTCGCCCGAATATACCCGGTTTTTTATTTTTTAAAGGAATAGTTTAGCCGCACGGCTATACTCGGTTTTTAATTTTTTTAAAAACATAAATAGTATAGCCGCGTGGCTGTACTTCGTTTTTTTTTCCTAATTTTTAAAAAAGAATTAGTACCACCACGCGGCTATATTCTGTTTTTCTAATTTTTTTTTTATAAAGAAATAGTACAGTTGGGCGGTGATACTTGGTTTTGTTTCCTAAGTTTTTTTAGAAGAAATAGTATAGTTGTGCGGCTATCCTCTGTTTTTATTTATTTTTAAAGAAATAGTATAGCCGTTTGGCGATATTCGATTTTTTTTTTGTTTTTTAAAAAAAGAAATAGTATAGCCAGCCACGCCACTATACATGATTTTTTTATTATTTAAAGAAATGGTATAGCCGCGCAGCTAGACTCGCTTTTTTTCTAATTTTTTTAAAGAAATAGTATAGTCCCCAATTATATTCGAATTTTTTAAAAAAGAAATAGTATAACCGCGCGGCTTGGAAT